GAAGGCAGCTAGTCATCACCTCCCATCGCCAACTCTTAGGCTACTCTTTTACCAACGAAATAGTGGGATTGACCGTCACATTATAACGCCCTCACGGCTGAAAGGGCGAGCATGTTGGTGTGACGGGGATTCGAACCCGCGACCCTCAGATTGCGAGCCGAGCGCCCTAACCACCTGGACATGTCGGGCCTGTAGGGTTTGGTAAAAGGTAAAACACCACTGAAGAGTATCGTCTCGGAAGTATTGAACGAATTCTGATATTTTTCTTTTATTCACTGTTATTTCATTTTCACTTTCTCTCTAGTTGAATATCCAGAGGATTGAATACTTTATACTCAAATTATTTTGAACATGTGAATCACCAATCACGTGGCAACTACAGCCGATATAAAGTCACGAGGGAACAGAATGGGTCACAACTACATTTTGACATTGAATGGCGTTTCATAGGTAATGTTACGTCACCTAGCATTGATCGCTTTTGAAATAGTTCTTTCCGACGGAAAATATTCATACACTCAGATCATAAAGATATGTTCAGATCGGGGTTGTTCCTTGAATTTTATGGCTTAGGAAAACAAAAGAGCACAGATCAACTTGGGGCACCAGGACCATCCAGAAAGGGATCTTGTTCTTGTGCTTTTTAGCGCAAAGTTACACAATGGGCTATCGTACTCTGTCCACCATGTGGAATCAAACTCCAGATTTTAGCGTTGTAAGTTCGTAAACTTACCGCTGACTCACTGAAGGACCCCAGAACGGAACCTACAACAAGGTGTACCTCAGCCGTAGTAAGCAGAGTGTGGCGTCTTCTAACAGGTGAGAATCCACGAATACAAAAGACAGTGTCAAAACCCACCATGTAACACTACGCAGCATAATCAAAAATGATCTCCGTCTGGAAAAGTGACCTAAGTAGTGTCCAGAAATTGCTTTCACGACATATTTGTTTAACCGTCGCATGTCTGAAGCAGCTGTAAAAATAAACGGATATTCGTGTCATTCCACACGAAGACATGCAAGACTAGTTGCCGTAACACAGTGCTTCTTTGCAATGAGACTATTGAAAACCTTCACCCTCGCACACTATATGGATTATGAATCCCATTCAGGAAAGAGTGGTGTGCTTTGAACAAGACAACCGTACAACGAAACCCTTTAAGATTAAAACTACGTTACAGGGCTTTCGTAAAGATGCACGGTTATCAGATAGAGCATGACCAGACGTGGGGACACGAACAGTAACGACTGATATGGACTATAACGACGTGTTGAGGCTCCTACATCATTTTAATATTATGTAAGCAACTTCTGTATGAGCGTGTGTGTGTGTGATATATAAATATATATAATAACGAAGTACTTTCACTCATACAGGGCGTCCAGTGTTCCTATATTTCGTATATTTTTGTGTGTATTCATATATTTTTCAGGTCTTGGGAATTTTTTAATATTTAAAAATAAAACTGCCAATTAGATGTTAAGTACTATTATTATATGTGGCAGTTATGTATAACATTAATTGGTATTTTAATTTCAAAGGTGATAAAAGCCTTCCAAATGTGTTACACAAATCCAAAATTTCTTTGAAATGAAAGTATGATAAAAGTTAGAAGAATTATATTAGAACGCCTAGATTGTTAACGGTTTAGAGCCAAAGGACATAACATTTTGAAGAAATAGGCTTTCACTGTTCTCCATAAAAGCATGAAAATTCGTGCAGCAGAGCGTTTTTACTATCTTAAAACAGATTTCAAGCTAATGCGGACATACACCTTCAGCCACAAAGTTAAAACTGTGGTTACAAAAGAGAACCTTCCGGCCCAAAAAGCCATTATCCATTGTAGTAAAGTAGCAATGATTTAAAGTTGGAAAATTTTCACAAGCTTCTAGTCACACCTCGAAACCAAAGACTTTTATGGGAAAAAAAAAGATGGCCAAAGAAATTGAAATCACAGCAATCCCACTATATACTTGTAAAAATCACCTCATGCAGACACAATGCATTTTTGCCCAACGTGGCTATCTGCTGTGTTCACCGAGGAGAATCGAACCCCTGATTTTAGCGTTGTAAATCCGAAGACTTGCCGCTGTCCCACTGGGGGACAGTCTGCTCAAAGGTGGTCTTGGAAGCGAATATCTAGGTATAGCGGAGGGCCTGTGAAAATAGTTGTGCGTCGTCTCAAATTCTAGCCGTGGTGCTACGGACAACATGGCCAGCAGAAACTAGTGAAAATGAAAATTGTGGGGTCGAGGAATATTACGTAATCATGGTCTTCAGAATGACCACGATCGACGATACAGGACGGGTTACATGGGCAGTTAACCCTCAATATAGTATATTTATATATATTACTATGGGCAACTTACAAAAGTAAGGTTGAAGCTGCAATACTCTTTCAAGTTTGGGTGCGTCATAAGCATCACAGTGAATCCAATTATTTAGTGCAAAGCCTCTGTAGCGGCGGGTGCTGCTGACTGTTTGTCATCCCTCTGGCCAGTAGTTAAAAATTAGATATG